AGCCAGGTATAAACAACTTTAATTTCGATCTTTCTGGCATCGCACCATATTAATTTAACTTTATTCTATTCTACTATTGATAGATAAGGTTCTACATCACGCATTGTCTGAAACTGTGAGAAATATGTATGTCTATGCAATTGCATATGAGAAAACATTGAACTGGAAGTGTATATTAGATAAACTCATCGGCGGATTGAAGGAAATGTATAGATTGCATTATCAAATTCATTAAATTTGAGTGTATCACTAGGAGATAATAATAATTTTTAAAATGAGCAATTGGAATTACTGGAAGTCATTTAATATTGAATCAAATTTTCTATGTAATCGGATATTTTAAAGGCAGCATAAACATTAAACATGTTTTAAATTTTAAATTAAACTATAGTATTAGTAACAAAGATAACAGTAAAGACCCACTGTGCAAAAATTTGTAATATTTATGTTTTATAAATGTTTTAAGTTTACTTAAAACGTTAAAAATTATTGTAAAACTTACGTAAATTTAACATTATACGAACTGCAAATGTCCGCGAAAATTTACTTGATAATTATGTAATATTTACATAAATATAACAAAATAGTAAACGTCAATTTGATGTTAAAATTATGTTAAAATTCTGTTTCACCAAACATGAAATTTATGTTAAAACTATGTTTTATTAAACATAAAATATGTGTTTTATCGAAACAGACGAAAAAACATTATAATAAAACTGCTTATTTATGTTCTAAGAAAGTTTTTAAATACTAAAATATAACATAAATATTATATGATTATTTAACAGCAATAAGATATATCGGATGTATCTCATATTTTACATACCTACCATGCATTTATAAATGGCTATAATAGTCATAACAGATATAGATATAAATCATACTAATTAATTATCTATATTATATCTGTGAACATCAATTAAATTTTTCAGTATGCTATCATTATTAAAATATACCTTTAATGTGTCTCGACTCTTGATTACTTACCTACTAATGTTATTCGTAAGTCCTATTAAATAAAATAGATAGGTAGGTACTTAAAATGCAGATTAACAAAAAACAGAAAACCAATTAGACTTCAACTAAGCATTTATTATGATATTAAATCAATATAAAATATAGATATAAGAAAGAAATATAGATAATTATGGACTAAACATTTTTTGGTATAACATATAGTAAGTAGTTGAAGTTCCACTGTGCTTACAATATTTCATGACATAATGATAATGCAATTGCCTTACTATTTGATAATTTAATTAAAAAACATTTAAATTTTAAATCATTCTCACAAATTGAATACAAATTACATAAATCATTGGTATTAACTACAAACATTCCAACTACAAATGATGAGAAAGGTTTATTACAGAATTCTGAAACATTTAGAAATTTTTTTACCATTAATTTTATTGGTTTGTCCTTAGGTTTTATTATATACTGTATTGTAATTAATGAACCATCTTGGCACAAAAAATAATGGTCTTTTTCTTTTGCAACATCTAGGGTGGTCTTAGTAGATTCGAAAATACATTTTTGATAAAGTTTATCTGAGATGGCTATAAATGGAAGGCTTTGATGGTCAATTTCTTTGTATAATATTGGAGAAAGTGAAATTAAATGCAAATTTGTATTGATTAATTGTTGTTTTTCATTTATTCGATTATACACTTCTTGCAAAGGGTATTTTATGCATTTAACAGACTTTTTTATATATTGTAAATAGTTTTCGTACCTAAATGAACTAAAGTTATCAAGTGGCCCATGCAGTAATGTAAAGAAGGGTAAATGAATTAAACTATGGACATTATAACTTATATAATGATGGCCATATAAAAAGCCATAGCTATTCACAAATTGTACTAATAATTCTGACGCTTTAGAATTATATTTATAACAAGTATCTGGGGAAACTAAAATTCTAGTTGCAAATACCAATAACAAAAAATGTTTGTAAAGTTCAGGATTTAATTTGCCTTTTAAAACAATTGCTCCTGAATACAAAACAAAACTACGCAATTCAGTAGCCTTCCAGTACTCTATATCATCTATTGGTCGTGGTAATCGACAAAACTCTGATGGCACATATGGCCTTAACATTTTTAAATCATTATTTATTCCTTCTCTACTTTCATCTGTCAATCTTATATCCCTTTTCCCTTTAATCCAAAATTCTATTAAACGTTTAGTGACCCCGAGACACACACAATGCATGTAGTCTAAGCAAACAACATTGGTTATATTAATTGGTAATTTGAGTAAGGGGGAATCACCTTTATGATATTCTTCATTCGATTGATTTCTAAAAGTTTCGTTTGTTCTTAATGGAGCATTTGTTCCAATTAAAGCAACTCGGTTTTCTATATAATCTCCTTCTTCAATGCAAGAAGTACACCCAAAATAGGCATTAAAATTTTTAACGTTAAGTAAAAAGCTCTTAGCAGGGGCATCACAAACTATATTAGAAATGTTAACACTTATTAATGTTCCATTTACAATCAAACCATTTCTTAATACTTCTAAGGTGTCAGCAATAAATGGGTTTAAAAACTCTTCAATCGAATGTGGTTTTTTAAATCCATGAAATATACCAATGGGAAGTACATTGTTGGTTAATCCTTTAAAATTTAAGATAGAAACCAATATAGGCCATAGTTGACTTTTACTACTCTTAGCTATTGGTAGACCGTCAATGTTAATTCCTATATTTATTATATTATCGTTTGTATGTTTATTAAAATTATTTATTTCTAAAAGTGGTAATAACATATTTTTTAATCCTAAATGTATATAAGTACCATTTAATACATTAATAATTTCTTTAGTTTTAGGAGTGTGCATTAAAGTTCTAACATCTTTAGGAACTGTCATGCCTTCACTGCGCAATATAGTTAAAAGTGAGTTAGCAGCATTATGAGAAATTTTAAAATGAAGTATCCAATTACGTAGTTTGTTACAAATACTATTATTATTATCAATTAAAGTTTCATCTAAATGTGGCAATAACAGATTAGAAACTATTAAATTTGGTATATCGGGAAGATGATGACTTGCGTTCTCAATATGATTATTGATATTTTCAACACTACTGTTATAATCACAATAAGGAACTGCAGCATTTATAGATGGTAATATTGTTTCAGTTGTATCAATGGAATTTATATTTACTACCGATGCTATTAAACTGGTTCGCAGTAATGGTGTTTTAGACGCAATACATTTTTCCTTTGCCGACTTTACAATTCTTCTGAAATGTCTAGAAGATATTGATCCTAATTTCTGGCATTTGGTCTGAAACCCCAAAAAAAAACAGATAAAGGAAATATAAATATATATACACATTTTAAAGGGTTTTTGTATTTAATAAACACATAATATAATATATTGTTGGTATTTCTATAAATTTAAAATTAGCTTTAACAAAAACCGTGAGTCATAAAAATACATTAAATTAAATTTTTATAAAACAATTTAAATATTGAATTACATTTAAAATTATATGTATACAAGTGTTCACTATACCATCATCAAATTACTTTTGTTTAAATAAAAACTAATAGAAGAAAATTTACTGTCTCAATTAAAATTTAAATGAAAAAATCTTTATTTTATTTTTGAAAATATGTAAATAATGTATAATTAATAAAACTTATTTATTAAGAGTTCTATTTTGGGTACTTTTAAATCTGGTGTTTGCAGTTCTAAGTCTTTCAGTTATTTCTTTTTCAAACTGTGAGTCATTAAATAGCGTCGAAGAACATTGTTGGATAACCTCTAAAAATTAAGAAAAATGTGTATTTATAATTAATTAATCTTCAATACACAATTATTTTTGGCAACTAATATACCTTGGATGAATATTACATTTTCAACATGAATTCAGTTGATTATCTACATAGGTTATTAAATTAATATTATTAATAAAGAGTAAAAATATAATATACACTTGTACATTAATGATTACTTAATACTTTCAAATTGAGGTTTAGTTTGAGTTTAGGAAGGTATATTGCTCGCATAGTCACATAGATCATTAAACATTTATAATTAATCATTACTTTTCACTATTTTGATAAGTTCAGTTTCTTTTAATTTAGTCATATTCTTCGCCCACCCACGTCCAGTCCATGAAATATATATACAGTATTCATCAGTGAACAATTTGCTCATGACTCTTTTAATATGATTTGCAGCACAATTACCACCTATGCTTTTTATAAACGATTCCTATTAACAATAAAACTAACAGTTATAATATGTTATTGATTTGGTATTAAAAGATTTTATATTACCAGTTTGAGAACAAACTCAGTTTCATTTTTTATAAGATTTTCAATTGATAATAACTCATCTGCATTTTTAAGAGGAAAGTAACTCAAAAAAATTGGATCAATGTACACAGTTGGAACAATGCTTTGAGAAGTATTTTTTAAATTGGCTTCTATTACTTCAATTTTTGCAAATATGCGATTCAACATCAAATTTGTAGCAGTTTGACCTTGTAAGATATTATTGTTTAATGTATCTAATTTATCTTCATAAAACCCTGATCCGATAATAATAATAGGCATGAACAGAAATATTAAAATTATTCTTATTTACATAACATTTGATTTTAAGTTTAATAATGTTACCGTAAGTATTGGTGTTTGGAGTGGTATATAATTGCTGTGTATTCTGTGCACTTGTATACTGTATAAATTTAAGTATAATATATAGATATTTAAAAGCAACATTTTTAATTGTTTAATAGACCATTTGTATGAAATGTGTAAAATCAATTATAAATATTAAACTTTAATGTATTAAGTTAAGGGTATACTCTTAAATTATAAAAAATTAAAATTACTTGTTCATCTTGAGGTGGTTGGTAAACTGAACTTGATTGAACGCATGGTAGTTGACCCACTGAAGATGATTGCTTACTCATTTGATGTGATAATAATGATGGGAATGTTTCATTTGGTTGCATTGTGCATGGTTTCAGTAAGGGTGGACTATTCACTGGTTGTAGTTCTGTATAGTGTACAGGCTCTTCATTATTGGGCAACTTAAATGCAGAAGTAGATTCAGGTATTATACAGTACCCAGAATGATCTGTACACAATAATTTCAACATGTTTAGTCTTACACATATTACAACCCATAGTTTACTAAGCCTTTAGGTACCTTACTGTAATAATTAGGATAGATTGAGGTTATTAATTACCTTCATCACTGCTACTGCTTGATACATCAAATATCGTTGATGCACGTTTACATTTGGTCATCAAATGAACCTCCTCATTTTCCGATTCTTTTTCAACTCTTACATGCCAAGCTTTTTTAAAATTATCTAAAATGTTGGTAAATTTTAGATTAGAACAAATTATAACAAAACAAAATAATTATTAAATAAATTTAATTTTTAAAATAAGTGTTTACATTTTTTAAAATATAACATACAGGTTCCATACTACATACTTAAAATAATAATAAATATAAACTTTGTAAACTATTAAATAGATTTTATTTTACATACCATATGTTTTATTGCCACCAACTATTTTAATACCATACTCAAACCAAGTTGGATCTGGATCTAGGGCGTCATGAATGTCAGTACTGGTTACTCGACCAAGTGGCCATTTACATAACCTTACATTACTATTTTCTAGATTATTTATGTCATTTTGAACTAGCCACTTTGTTGGTACTACACTGTAATCCTTCGAATCCACAAATACCACAATAACCCAACTAACTTTAATCTAAAATGGAAAAACATTCAACATTTATTTTTTAGTTGAGTATCAACTACCTTATTTATTATGCACTAGAAATCTGAAATATAGTAGCAATACCTAATGACTAAACTTGATAAAAAATTAAAGGCACCTATTAGGTAGGTAATATCTACTGTTATAGGCAAAAATATGAAACTGGCTATGCCACTGATAGCTAGGTGCATATTTATTTTTCCAATCTTAAAGAAATGGGTACTTTCTTTGTAACATTATTGTAATAATATTGAGTTTAGATGGATGATTGTTACTTTAGTTTTTCTGATTTACTGAAATAATATAGATATTTATAAGTTATGGAAGAGGAATCAGATAGAAACAATTACACACATTTTCTGGTAAAAAATTGTATTATTTATAACTAGGGCTAGGATTTATATGCAATAAAAAATTGTAAAATATGCATTTTATTTACCAAAATATGCAAAAATATGCAAAAACAAATTTTTATTATTTCTAGAGTATTATTATTTATCATAATTCAAAATTGTATTATTATTACATTAAAATATTGAATATTAGTTTATATTATATCATTATTACATGCTACTATAATGTGTTGTTTCAATAATTTTCAAATACAAACATCCAGCGATTTGAACGTAAAATAGATTTATACTGACTAAAACTCCTTTCCACATCACACGAGGTTATTGGTGCATATTTTAAATAATGCGATTTATCCTGGAGTTAATCAATATCGATTTCTTAGATAGATAATATTTATACTTTATACTTACAATAATTCGACGGATAAACCAAAAATTATCGATTTTATGAAAAAAACACCATTTAAAATTAACAATAAATTATAAAAATTTGAAAATTTAAGTTAAAAAAAGTCAAAATTCCAAAAATCTATAAATATGCAATTATATGCATTGTGTTCAAAATATGCAAAAATATGCAAAAATAAATTGGTTCTATTTAAACGAGAATTAGCCAAATCGTGGACAAATCGCACTCCTAGAACAAGACTGCCACAACTCAAAATTTATAGTTTT